CCCAGAGTCGTCAGAAATCTTATGCTGACCGTAGGAGGAGACCTTTGTCTTTTGAGGTGGGAGATCATGTCTTTTTGAAAATATCACCTAGGCGGGGTTTGATGAGGTTTGGGAAGAGTGGGAAGTTGTCCCCTCGGTTTATCGGTCCCTTTGAGATCCTTGAAAGGATTGGGGAGATCGCTTATCGTTTAGCTATACCACCACAGTTGTCCGGAGTGCATGACGTGTTTCACGTGAGTATGCTTCAGAAGTATGAGCCGGAACCGTCCCATGTGTTAGATTGGACCGACTTGGAGGTAGATGAGGATGCCTCGTATGAAGAGAGATCGGTTCGGGTCTTGGATAGGAGGGATCAAGTCTTGCAAGGCAAGACCATTCCCTTGGTAAAGGTTTTGTGGAAAGATCATGGAGTGGAGGAAGCCACTTGGGAACGTGAGTTGGAAGTCCGCGAGAAATATCCGGACTTGTTTGTTGATATGTAACCATGCTTTGGTGATTTTGTAATATTGTTGAACCTTAAGAGTATTGAATATATCTTAGGTTGTAAAACATGGTTTATGTTTTGATTTAATGGAAGTATTTTGAAACTTGCCTCAAAATGGAAGTTTATTGTAACATTGTATATGTTGGATGTATTGTAGAAATGGAAATATATCATGAATACTGAATATGATATAGAATTGTGGAATGTAGTATTGAAATTTGTGGAATTTCAGGGAATGCATAACTATAATGCATGTTATGAAAAATGTTGTAAACTGCCTCTTGAAAAGAGATGAGATGACCGGTAATGGGTCGAATTATTTAATATTATGTTGTAATATTGTTGAGAAAAAGAAAACTTGTTTTTGAAAACTTGTATTTAATTTTGGGGACGAAATTCTTTAAGGGGGGGAGGTTATAGCGATCCCGGTTGTCCCTTTACTGTTCTGTTGTATTCCGGACTCGGTTCCGTGGAGTTGGTAGCTGTATCTATCTTGTTGTCGTCCTTTAATTCCATTTGTTTGAGTTATAGGATGTGTTGGGCTTGTTTCGAACAGGTGGGTTGAACCTTGGTCTAAAAATCTTGTTGCCAGGTTTTTGGTCGTTCTACTCAAGCGGGCCTTGTTGCGCTCGAGCGGAGATTGCACACTCCCAATTTTTCGTGTCCCTGCAAAACTTCTGCAGGTGTGCTTTTTACGCTCGAGCGGGGTTTCTTTACGCTTAAGCGGTAGCGCTTGAGCGGGTAGTACTCTTTGGTGTAAGTTCTAGGAGGGTGAAATCTATGCTCGAGCGGACTGGTTTTCGCGCTCGAGCGGATGTACTTTATTCTTGTGTCTTGGCCCTCGAGCGGGCCTTCTTGCGCTCGAGCGTACCTAGTTTTTTGTTCTTGACGCTCGAGCGTTGTGTTCTCTGCTCGAGCGGGAATGTCGTATATCAGTTGGTAGCTAGGCATTTTAAAATCACTTTTTACATTCTCTCTCTCTCTCTCTTACTTTCTATAAAGGCATTTTGAGAGCTCCTCTCTCTAGAAACTCCCTTTTTTCTAGGGTTTGATCTAGTTAGAGTGTCTCTCTATCCTTTGGCCTTTGTAAAAGTTGGGTTGATCGTCGAGGGCTACACTTTGATCCGAGAAAGTTGTGATTTGGAGCAACTTCATTTCCGTCCTCTCTTCTCTTGAGCTCCGTTTTTTTTTTTTTTTGAGGTAGGGATTCCTACTCACTCTTATGGTCTTTGACCTAGATTTTTGGTTGTTTTGATAAAGTGTTGAAGTTGGGTAAATTTTGGGACTTAGGGTTTCAAAATGTTAAAAGAGGATTTGTTATTTTGAGTCTAAAATGTGTATTGTGGGTTCAAAATAATGATATCGTTATTG